GATGTCTCGCTTCATCCGGCGGGCAGGATTCGCGTCAGTGAAGTATGCGCTGATGCACATACCCACATATCCCTGTGGCTCCATTGGAACGCTTGTCTGCACGAAGAAGGCTGGCGTCGATGTGACAAAACCGCTGCGTCCCGTTGAGGAGATGCCGTTTGCGAAAGAGCTGAAGTACTACCACTCTGAAATGCACAAAGCCTCCTTCGTGCTGCCGCGCTTTGCCCAGCACATCAACAACCTGGAATAATTTGCAGGCCGTCTCAGATAACATGCACCACCTACCTAACGCCCTCTTGGAGGGCAGCGGGGGTAGAAGAAGAAAACGGAATGTGAGTTGATGGAAGTTACGTGGGTGGCGGCGCGCGGGTGTTTATAGAAAGCAAGTGTGTGGGTTGAATGAGAGGTGATGCCGGATTTGACACCGCTATCGGAGGAAGAAAAGAGAGCCCGAGAACGACGTCTGCAGGCTGAACATGATCGGTATGTGAAAAGCATAGCAACAATGCGCTCGTTGCCGCGTCTGCAGTCGACAATTGCTGGGGCAGGCGGAAAGACGAACGAGCATGCCCGTCTTGCGGAGGATCGGGAGATGGAGCGGCGGCAGCGTCATCAGGCGGAGGCCGACCGCCTGCTAGAGCGCGAGGCGCGAGAAAAGGCGCATCAGGCCAAGGTGGAGGCGCTTGACGCAAGACAGCGGAAAAAGCGGGCCAAGGCAGCCAAGAAGAAGGCCAAGAAGGCACGGGTGCGTTTGGAGAACGGACAAAGGATAAGCTCCACACCCTCCGACGAGGAGGAGGAGAGTGACAAGGAGGACGCCGTGGAAGCTGCGGAGGGAGAGAAATGAGCGAGTTTGGGGGTGCTGGGCGTTCGCGCGGTTGCTGGTGAGGCACGCTCAAAAGGGGAAGCCGCGTTGGCGTCTCCGTGTGTTGGGTTCGTGTTGCGTTTAACACAATCGTCACAGGAGTTTGGATTCATGCCCCTTCTGAAGAGGTGTACATTTACGCAAGTGCCCACGCACGTACACGCGTGGCCGGGGACAGCACGTGTGCTCGTTGAATAATATGCCTCCCCCCAAAACCCCTTCCTATTGCCCGGGTTTGTGCGTGATGCGAAGGCAGGGCGTGGTTTCCGCGGCCGCGCAGTACCTGTTCAGCGAGGCACGGCGTTATCTGTGCGGAGTCCAATTTTATTTATTTTTGTTTTGGTTTTGGTTTTAATGCCTCCTCAACGCATCCCCTGTTTTTAAATTTACGCTGGCGCCTGTGGGGCGGCTCCGTCGCGTGCTCGGCATGGGACGAGAGGCTTGACAGTAGACGACATCATTTGGTATAATAAAAACAGAAGGGAAGTAAGTGCAATCAGGCTTGGCAAATAAATGGCGCATACGGCAAATGTGGCGCTCGTGCCCGGGAACACTAAAAAAAAGAATCCACCTCCGCCACTACCACCGCGGCTATTTGTCCCACTCTGGCGCTTTCTCACCGTCGAGTTGTTGATTTACGCGGTGTGCCACATCGTGTGTCTCGGGCTCGCGCTCTTTGCCGCCACTGACGTGTCCCTTTCTGACCTGGTCCGGGGGATGCTGCGACAGCTCCGGGGGCCGCCGCAAGAGCAGCCCCCGTCGGATCGAAGCCCCTTTGAAGTGCTGCGGGGGTACAGGCAGGCAGCGGCTTCGGGGCCGGTGTTGCCGTCGCATGAAGTCAACTCTGACCTTCTTCTTACACTGCTGGTGCCTTTTTCACTTCATGCCTTTTTCCTTGCTCTCATGCGCCGCATTGAGGACGTTGGGGCGGATGAAAGGCGGAAGCAGGAGGAGGAGGCAGGCACGGAGCCCTCGCAGGCAACAGGTCCTACCAACGGCGATAAAGGTGCGGGTACGGTGCGACCGTGGTGGATGGTGGACTGTGATCTCCTCATGAAGCACACCCTTATTGGGTTTACCTGCGTTCTCTGCCCCCTCATTCCAATCTGTGTCTTCCCACAGGAGGCAAGCGAGGTGCGTGGCCTGGGACCGGCTGCAGGCTTGCTGTCGATTGCGGTGGGTATGTGCGTGCTGGAGGTGCACGGTGGAATGCGCGGGGTGCGAACGACGTTTAACTGCTTTCAGGCACTTATAATTGCTGGAGTCGTTGTGCTTGTTGCGGTGGCGCACTTGTGCCCTAAGGAGTAGGGTTGGTCGTCGGGGGCTAGGAATGATGAAATATGGGTAACAATTTATGCCACTTGCGTAGACAACTCTGCGAGGGCCTTTCTCTGGAAATGCGCAGGAGTATGGGCTTGCGGGTGGGATACACGCAACCTTTTTTGTCAATATTTTTTTTTTTTTCTGTCATGTATTGTTTTTGTCTCGCCTGCAACCATGTCGCGGGACCCAGCACTGCAGCACTAAGCGAACTACAACGTTTACATTATGCCTGGCCCCGGCCTACTCCCTGACGGCTGGTTCCGCGAGGAAAATGACCAGTGGCCTGGGCAGGCCATGTCCTTCAAGGTGGAGAAGGTCCTATACGACGCCCCGACGAAGTTCCAGCACCTGACGATCTTTGAGAGCGACCCAAAGGGTCCGTGGGGCACCATCATGACGCTCGACGGCTGCGTCCAGGTGACGGACCACGACGAGTTTGTCTACCACGAGGTGCTTGGCCACACCTCCCTCTGCTCCCACCCAAACCCGGAACGTGTGCTCATCATCGGAGGCGGCGACGGTGGTGTGATGCGGGAGGTGCTGCGCCACAGCACCGTGAAGCACTGCGAGCTCGTCGACATTGACGGGGACGTCATGGAGCAGAGCAAGCAACACTTTCCGCAGATCGCCTGCTCGCTGACAGATCCCCGGGCGACGGTTCGCGTGGGCGATGGCCTGGCGTTTGCAAAGCAGGCCGCGGACAACACGTACGACGTGGTTATCATTGACACCACCGACCCCGCTGGGCCCGCGTCGGAGCTCTTCGGGGAGGAGTTCTACAGGCATGTGCTACGCATCCTGAAGCCGGACGGCTTATGCTGCAATCAGGGAGAATGCATCTGGCTGGACCTTCCGCTTATTGAAGGGATGTCTCGCTTCATCCGGCGGGCAGGATTCGCGTCAGTGAAGTATGCGCTGATGCACATACCCACATATCCCTGTGGCTCCATTGGAACGCTTGTCTGCACGAAGAAGGCTGGCGTCGATGTGACAAAACCGCTGCGTCCCGTTGAGGAGATGCCGTTTGCGAAAGAGCTGAAGTACTACCACTCTGAAATGCACAAAGCCTCCTTCGTGCTGCCGCGCTTTGCCCAGCACATCAACAACCTGGAATAATTTGCAGGCCGTCTCAGATAACATGCACCACCTACCGAACGCCCTCTTGGAGGGCAGCGGGGGTAGAAGAAGAAAACGGAATGTGAGTTGATGGAAGTTACGTGGGT